AGGCTCGTTCGTTTACCCGATCCGGATAAACGACCTTGCCTGGACCCTGAAGAGGACCGCGAAGAGGACCCCGAAGAGGTACCTGAAGAGATACATCCACCATAAATCCCGGCCGTTAAAAATAGCCGGCGTTTACGAGCTAACGAGAGACCGATGGACGGGAAACGAGCCAAAAAGATGGATCCCACTTCTGGTAGGGATCCCCTGGGTGGTTCTCCGATTGCGACACGTGTAGCCGCTTGTTTTGACGAGGATCCAGAGAGGAGACGTCGGGAGACGTCGAAAGACGCCCGGCCAGCGGGAGTGACAGTTCTTCGGCTACTTCTTCAGGGCCCGAAGAAGATGGCTCGTCATCCATCATCGTTAGAATTCCATTCACCGACGTTCGACCGGAAGTTTCTCGCCCCGTAAACTCATTTCGGACGGTTTACTAAATGTCCGGCTCGTTCCGCCTTAATCGATAGGCGCTCTTCAGGGTCGCCGGGACGCCGACGGAATTAGGATGAACGGCCAATCACTCTGGATGAGTTTCGACTCCTGGAGCGGTCTTTCCATGATGGAATGAAAAAAGGGGAAATGGAACGACTTTGAGGGAAGAGTGCCTGACCGGTCAAAGAAAGGGGACTGCGCGTCGAAGCCGAGACCCTGAAGAGGCCAGCGCTCGAAACGGAATAAAAGCGCAAATGGAGCCATTTGTGAAAAAAATGTCGAGCGAGCGAGCTCAAAGATGGCCAACATCGGGCACTGAGTGCTCCTCAGCCTTTATGCGCTCTTCAGGGTCCCCTTATTCAACTCCCTACCGAAATTCCTGCCCTTTGCCGCGGTCTCGTTCTCCAGCTTGGTTCTCCACCTTGTCGGACATCGGTTCTTGACTTTTTCGGTGGAAAAGTTTCCCGTAAAATTTGCGGTCTAGTTTTGAAACGTATTCGACGGAGTAGGGTCATTAAGATACCTTGATTAATAATTAATGGTAATAGTCTTGTATGGGTACTTTTAGATATTTTAACATTATGGGCAGTTGTAACATGTATTTAAGTAAATTAAGACGCTTAGATGTTTACAAATTTCTGCTTCTTCTGCTGAATAAAGGTACCCGACATCGGAACAATGAGTGCTCTTCAATGTTTGCAGGCTCTTCAGGGACTCTTTCAACCTCCTTCCCAAATTCCCGCCCTTCGCCGTGGTCTCCGCCGCCATCTTGGTTCCCGACCTTGCCGGAAATCGATTTCCGAGTTTCCGGGCTGGAAGTTTCCCTTAACGACGCGTTTAAAAATAAATAATCTCGTTCGCGCTCCAAATGGCATCGCAAAGGGGAAACGCTTGCGCCGGAAGTCGCGCGAAAGGCCGCCATTATGGAGAACGCTCGGCGAGTGTAACTCTTTTTTAAGATGGTCGCCATTGCAGCCCGAGAGCTCCTCCAGCGTTTCCACCTTCGTGCATTTCCCTCTTAAAACCGTACCGATCTCAACTCAACCCAGATTTCCCCGATCCCGCCTCCTGGAGCCGCTCTTCAGCGTCCTCTTCAGCATCCTCCCGGGTCCTCGCGAATCCTGGCAATCGGCCCCCTGTAAATACGCGTGTAAGAGGCCGAAGGATCGCGGAAATTTCCCACGAGCTCGGGGAACGAATTTCCCGGGGAAAATGAGGAAAGAAATCAGCCCCGCGACGTCACCCCCGACTAATCCGACGCGTCGCGACGCTAATTCGAGCTGCGGTCCGATCGCGAATGTCAACGAGGTCTGCTATTTAACGCGATCACCGAAAACTGTTGTCATCAGGAGTGGCGCCGTCATTATCATATGTCAAATAAATTCAGGGAAAATTCCGGGAGCGGAGAAGCCGCGCCGAAATGGCCGCTACGGTGCGGTTCCGCGCGCGGAATAATAATTCACGGTCAGAATAACAAATTTTCCCTTGTTTTGACAATTCCGGCAAAAGAACCATTCACTTGAAAATGGTTCGGCAACATTTTTATCGTCGACACGGTTTTGTTGTACACCGCTGGGAAGAGAAATTATTACCCCACCGGGGCAACTGGAATTACTTTCATTGCGGTATCTTTTACCAGTGATAACGAATTTCATATCGCTCATGTCTTCAACGGGAGCGATAACATTTTTTTCTTTAATGCGGCTACACATTTTTTTCGTAATCTATCAAGTTTTTTTTTCTAAAAAATGCTTTCCGATGGTTATATCCACGCAGGAACATGTTCGGTTGAGGCAATGAAATTATTATTGAAACAAATGTTAAATAAGGTTATTGTATCAACAATTAAGTATCTGCTTGGCATCGCAAAATTATTGATTTAATAATTCTGGTAGATCATCCTAAATTTTAACGTAATCTGATACAATTGGCCAGATATTTGATATATCGAGTACGACAATTTCTAAAATTGACAAAACACTATAATAAAATTCGCTCCCCTCGATATCGACGAAATGCGGTAAATCAAACGATTTCGATTAAGAAATTGAAATTTGTTCGGCGTAAACGTTTGACGTAACTGCAAGCATTTCTGCGGTGGTGGGATTTTTTATAGCACTGGGAGGGAAATATTATCAGCGATGCGATCCGTAACTGAAACTACAAATTACTTTATGTGTGGGATTTAGGAAAATTTGGCAAATCTCTCGGGGCGAAAACCCAAAGATCCTCCAAGTTATCCGGGTGACCCTGTTCTCCAGGAGAGAAGACGAAGAGGGACCACGGAAGTTTCGTGATATTCATGGTAATGCGAGAAGTGCGGCAGGTTTCGCCCGTAAAAAATCCCCATCCCGCGGGATTCTGGGACGTGTCCATTGCAAATGGACCAAGAAGATGGACGCGGAGGAACGTCGATGAGTCTCGCGGGATGAGATCGAGGGCTTCGAGCTCGGATCGTTAAGCACTGTCCACGTCTCAGCGATCGCGAATGTCAATTCGAGAGACCGACACCTATCGCGAACTCTCGTTAATCACCGGGATGTGGATTCCTCGAGTAGGGACGAGGACGTTTCGCCGAGAGGAGGAATCCCATGGGAGATCTGGGGACCTTGGAAAAGTTCCCAGGTTAACTGCGACTTTGATAAGAAGGAATTTCCATAGGGAGGTTTGTAGGGTTATATAGGGTTTTATAGGGTTATATAGGGTTTTATATGGTTATATAGGGTTATATAGGGTTTTATAGGGTTTTATAGTGTTATATAGGGTTTTATAGGGTTATATAGGGTTTTACAGGGTTTCATAGAGTTATACAGGGTTTTGTAGGGTTACATAGGGTTTTATAGGGTTATCCTGGATTTTCTGGAACGTTATAAAAAATCATCTACAAAAGTTACATGTAACAATGAATTTTGACAGCGTTATTTAACACAGTTTCGACAAGGTAAAATGCTCAAGATTTCCCTAGGAGCTAGGAATTCAGGACCTTGCAAAAGTACCAACAAGAACTGCACTCTTAATGAAAATAAATTCTCATCGGCAAATTTTATAGGATCGGATAGGAGTATGTAGGGTTTTGTGACATCATTATAAACAATGTAATTTCCAACAGTGCTATTTGGAGTTTATTATCCTGCATCGTTTTTACAAAGATAAACAGCTTTAGTTATTGCGTAGGGCTTTCATTGCGTTACATAGAATTCCTATTCCTATTTCTTTAGCGTTATATAAAGTTAGTTTTACATAGAGTTTCAATTCCATTGCGTTACATAGAATTCCTAGGATTTCTTTAGCGTTACATAATGTTAGTTTTACATAGAGTATCGATTCCATTGCGTTACATAGAATTCCTAGGATTTCTTTAGCGTTACATAAAGTTAGCTTTACATAGAGTTTCGATTCCATTGCGTTACATAGAATGCCTAGGATTTCTTTAGCGTTACATAAAATTAGTTTTACATAGAGTTTCGATTCCATTGCGTTACATAGAATTACTAGGATTTCTTTAGCGTTACATAAAGTTAGTTTTACATAGGGTTTCGATTCCATTATACTCTAGTTCGTTATATAGAGTTTCGATAGGGCTATAGAGGATTACATATTACGTAAGGTTTCAATGGCATTATGTAGAGTTAATTGCTGTATACAGCTTCGATAGCGCTATATGGAACTAGTTATTATATAGGGCTTCGATGGCATTACATAAAATTAGCGTTTCAATGGCGTTACCAAGAGTTATGGTTGCGACGTAGTAACACAGAATTGAACGGGGCGTCTATAGGGTTACACAGGGTCAGGAAACCGGACCCCAAGACCAACATAGATACCCTAACCTATAAATATTAAGTAGCCCTATTGACGTGCAACACCCAATTGTACACGGCCACTCGGAGAGCATTTCAGAGGTCTTCCAAGATGATAAATTCGGCTTCCTGATAACGCGTCGGTAGCCGGATTCAATTTCGGGGCTTTTTACGATTACCGCTCTGCTCTCATTTTCCTCGCTGATAAGGAGCGCTATGCGAGATAACCCGGAGGGCCTTGCGAGACGAGTCACCAGGGCTTTTATCACCGGTCCATCGTGGGATTAGCTCATGGTAATATTTTTCCGGAGATGGAATATTAATTAGACGGTCCGAGGAGATGACTTTCTAAAGTCATCACGGGTCGATGAGTTCCCGGAGCTGATAATGGCTAACCCAGATGAGAGATTTGGGGGACAATTTCCCGCCGAGATTCCCCATCATTGGTCCAACTCGAGGAGCCATTTGTAATGCACATTTATCTATTTATCAGTCGGTATAATTCCTCGCTCTGGGAATGAAAAATCCACTTTCAACGGGATGCCGATAAGATAGTCCTCCCTGATAACGCGATCGACGCAACATCCCATCCTGAGATGATTTCTGTACTCCGCGTTTTCCTCCAGTGATAACACGTAGGAAGTGTCATCGCAGAAGTCTCTGATAACCTCGCAGATCCGTAAATGCCAAAAACAGGGAAAACCGACGAGCGAGCTCAATTCGGTGGAGAACTTCAGGAGTGTAACAGATCTGTCAAGGTGCCGGTTCGCGACTGTCAAACAGAGCTGTCAACGGAGGTATCGGGTGTCATCAAGTCACTATCAAATCTCGTTAGACCTCTTTGATCCAAGATGAAGAGGTTGCTATTGAAAGCGAGTCCGATGGCGAACAGATAGACTTCTTCAGGGTCTTCCTCAGCATCCTCTTCAGCCTCTTCTTCGAGTATCTGATTCAGGGATATCGAGTCCAGGTTGGGAGATGGGTGAGTGACGTATCAAAAGTCAGATTGTGTCCTCGAGTTGGGCTAACATGTATGGATGTATATGAATTGGACCTCTGCTCCCAGCAGGGGTAGTTCGCTTCCTCTTCGCGATCATGCTCTGCATCGCCAACATGATCATCTACGGGCTCAAGGTGAACATCTCGACGGCGATCATCGGGATGGTGAAGAGAGACAACGCGTCGACCTCTGGGGGAGGTTCCGAGGAGTGTCCGGAGTACTTGCAGGACAACGGCGACGACCCAACCGACCTGGAAGGACCCTTCGAGTGGACCTCCACCCAGCAGGGTCTCATCGTCAGCGTCTACTTCGCCGGCTACCTCGTCGGCATGTTCCCAGCTGGCTACCTGGCTGATCGGTAATTCCCTATCCAGGAACCTGAAGACAGCCCGCTAATTTCACCGGTCTTCAGGTTCAACACCAAGTGGGTCCTGCTGATCTGCGTCCTGGGGAACGCAGTTCTCACCTTGCTGGTCCCAGCAGCTGCGAACGAGATCGGGGTCCTGTTGACCCTGAGGTTCCTCACGGGGCTCATCAGCGCTGCCAACTTGCCGGTCGTCAACGTCCTCGTCGGCAAGTGGGTCGTCTACGAGGAGAAGAGCACCTGGGTCGGCGTCATCTACAGCGGCACCTCGCTCGGGACCGTCGTCTCTATCCTCTCCTCAGGAATGATCCTCAACTACCTTGGCTGGGAAGCCGTCTTCTACATCCACGGGATCCTGCCCCTGATCTGGTGCGCGGTGTTCCTGGTTTTCTTCGCGGATAACCCCGAAGAGCAGCGGTACATCACCGAAGAGGAGCGGCACCTTCTGATCAATAGTTACGGCCATCGACCCCCTGGGGTCAAGAAGATCAAGGTCCCCTGGAAGGCCATCTTCTCCTCCGTTCCCTTCTGGGCGCTGATCATGACGAACATGCTCGGGAACTTCTGCTGGTACTTCTTGCTTACCCAACTGCCGCTCTACATGAACAAAATGCTCCGGTTCGACATCAAGAAGGTACTTCTTCAGGATCCTCTTCCGGAGTCTTATGGGTGCTTATCACCAAATTTCATTGTAAATGATAGTAACCTGTAAAATTGAGCATATATATACGCTCCGGTGATAGTGACCAGCAAAAACTGAGCGTATATATACGCTAATGATCCAAATCGGTTAAGAGATCATTTTTAATGATTTTTTTTGCAGAACGCATCTATAAGCTGTGCTCCCTATCTTATCAATGCCTTTGTGAACCCCGCGTTGGGCAGAGTTTTGGATTGGGGACGCAAAAATGGCTACTGGTCCCAGACTCAGGGCAGAAAACTTGCCGTGGCAGTCAGTTAGTAATCCCGAGAAACTCGAAACGACATATTCCGCATGCATTCGCAGCTTTTCGGAGGTTCCCTTAACCTAGGTTCTGCACTGCTGCAGGTTGCATCCCGCCGAGCGTAATTCTCCTGATAATTGCATACATCGGATGCGCTCGCACGACCACGGTGATTCTCCTCTGTCTCAGCATTGTTATTTGCGGGGCCATTTTCGTTGGTCATCTGTGCAACCAAAACGACTTGGCGCCGAATTACGCCGGCACTTTGATGGGCATTACCAACACCCCCGGTACCATTTCGGCATTCGTACTTCCGGCCCTCGTGGGTGCCATTACAGAGGACGGGGTGAGTCCGCTTTCGAATTCACTTTCCCAAGGAAAAGAAAATCATTGACAGGGATTGTCTTTCCAATTAGATCCCAAATTTCATTTATTAGGTCAAGGAATATGTTCCCGCCATTTTTCACGTAATATATATTGTAATTAAATTCAACGGAACTTGTTCATCAGCCTAATGAAACACTGTAGCTCATATTTGAGGTGGCATGACAAAAATGATCGGAAATTGTTGTTTAAATTTATTGTATAATATGGGTACATGCATTGCAGACATTTCACGCAGCAAGTGGTCTGCAAATTGTTTGTAAATCGATATTCCTCGTACGATGATAAGGGATTTCTATCTAGGGTATTTTCGGGTGAGAAGGTCTTCTCTAATTTTACCAAAATTTCCAGCACACTTTCCTCAGGTGGAGGTACATCTTCTGGGTCAACATAATCGCGCAGATGTTGGCGTTCGCGGTTTTCACGGTCTTCGGGTCTGCAAAGATCCAGGACTGGAATTACCCTGAAGAGCGCCCTGAAGAGTCCTCCCCAGAGGCGCTGCCACCTATCAAGGAGTCCAAGTCGAAGGACCTCGCACAGGAGACTTAATTCCTAGGACTCTGGAATAATGGGGAACTAATTGTGCCGGTAAGAAAGTTCGGAGGGAATTTAATCTCGATTTGTTCAGCTTGCGCTTCGAAGTAGCGACTGATCGTAGGAGCTGATGAAGCGGGGCGGCACTTCAGAGGAGGACCCCGTGAAGAGGAGGGCCTCTTCGAGGGTGGCAAAGCCGCGACTTTGACTGGCAAAGGCCACCCACGTGTCAAGAGACCAATTAGGCGCGACCTGGCAGAAAAATGCGGCTCGTCCCAATTAGATTTGCGCGGCGCTACGTCTTCAGGCTGTCAGATGGGAAACCGGGAAGCCGGGACGTCTCTTCCCTCCTCTCTGGAGCGATATTTACGTCCTTTGAAATATTACGTTTGTAGCCTATTTTCGGAATATCGCCTCTCGGGCACGACGAGAGAGGACGCCGCTAAGTCGTTTCCTTGGCTCCGGATTTAGCCGCGCCTCGCGGCATCGAAGATGTCCCTTAAAAATAGATGATGGTACCGTGCCCCCGGATCCATCCATTTCCCATGGAAGGGGTTGGGGATGATCTGCCTGAGATATTAATCCCTTCCTTGGAGGACGGTGGGACGTGAAATGACTTTTGAAACCGGCTGAGGTACCTTGCATTTGGGATTATCCGAAGTGCCCACCACCTGGACTGATGGGGTACATTTTCTTCCGCGATCCTTGACAATGATTCCATTGCCCTGAAACTGTTCACTAATTTTCTATGGAACTGGAAGTAACCTGCCTGAGACATTAATTCTTTCTTTGGAGGACGGTGGGACTTGAAATGATTTTTGAAACCAGGTGAGGTACCTTGGGATTCTCATTTGGGATGGTGTGAGGAGCCTTGTACCTAGACTGGTACATGGTACCTTGCAGAAAGACTGATGGTACATGTTTTTTGTATGGCCCTCAAAATGATCCAAGTGAGATATTAATTTCCTTCATGGACAAAGCCATGACGTTAAATGATTGTGCCATTTGGATTGTCCACGTTTCGCTCTGCACAGCTTGCAAGATGATTGGGCGCGGTACCAACAATAAATGGTCCCGCCAAAGTTATGAAGTTCGTGACCATGGTTTATTAAAAAATACCCGAAGGGAGGAAAAGCGAATTTTGTTTGTTTTTTCGAGGATAGTTGCAATCAAATCCAGAATCACCGGGTCATGTTTGGTCTGTTGGGGAGCCAGCTTCCAAAATATAGGATGTAAATGAATGGATGCTAGCGTCGATGATGGGTACTCCGATGAATAATTTCTTACGATTATTAATTGACATTATGGAACCATAGATACTGGATCGAGGAGGCAAAGGATGTCTTAGTCCTTAATATTCCTAATGTCATGTCGGGCCTCTTCTAGGGTTGGTTCTAGCTTTCAGAATGCTGCTCAAAATGCACTTAGTTTCCAAAATGCTGCTCGAAATGCACTCAGCTTAGACTAAAAAAATATTAAAAATGCACTCAGCTTAGACAAAAAAAATATTAAAAATGCCCTCAGCTTCCGTATTCTAGGACGCAGACGGTAAATGATGGATAACCGACGGATAAAAACGACTTCCCACGATTTTAAAATGAAATTATGGTATCATCGGTGGAGGAGCCAACCGAGCAAAGGGTTAAGGAACGGGAACCAGCTCCCGTCTACATAGGGACTTAAAATTCCAGGCCGGCTCGGTCGTGTGTCCCACCTCGCGGTAGGTGCGAGGTCGGAGGGCTTTCTTCGCCGTGTTCACTAATTCATGAGATGAATAACTTACGAGCGAGCCTATGAATAATGCTTATGCGGCTCTTAACCCGACGAGCAGGTGACCTCGAGCGTAGGTTTTCGGCAACCTGTCGAAATGCAGGGCGATAGGGCCAACCGGACATCCCCGTGGGAAACCACTTGCCGGAAGGATCCTTCCCTAACGAGATGATCCAACGATCGATTTCTAAACCTAATCACGAATTATTACCTCTCATTATTCTCAGGCCCGACAAAGGTGTCCGAAAGGCGCATCGAATCGTTAAATGATCTTTCGATCGAGGACTACAGATGATGACGGGCGAAGATAGGAAGATCATGAATCAGCTTACGGGGAACTGGATCGATATTTATCGATATTTATATTCACTTGGAAATCAGTGAATACGATTTCTTTCTCTGAGAACCGATCGCCGTTGATTACAGATGATAGAGAACAATGTGATTCGGTAACGAGTGACGTTCGGCCTTAAAATTGTGATAGTGTTTGGTGATTTCCAATGATTTCCAGTGATTTCGAACAATCGAAACCATGATTTCCTTCCTTGAGAACCGATTGCTGTTGATTTCGGGTGATAAGCAACAATGCGACTCGGTAACGAGTGACTTTCTTCGGCCTTAACCCTTTAATCCTTTGAGCGCTGTCGGCGCATATGTGCGTCCGACGTTTGGTCGAATATCGCTAGCACGCCCTGACGAAATTCGCCCATACGCCGAAAGTACTTAGCACCCAAAGGGTTAAGGACGTGGAGATGCACTACCTGTACGGATAGCTCGGCCGCGAAGTGTTAATATTTTATATAAATACGATATTAATGTGTCGCTTTGAATACATGGGAACGAAGGAGGCCACTATAGCGGCGTTTCGTAATTAAAGGGTTAAAATTGTGAATGTTTCTGTATTTCCAACAATTTCCGCTTACGATTTCCGGCTAATTTCTGCATGATTTTAAGCGTTAAAATCCATGATTTTATGAATAAATAGCCCCTCACCCTATCCAGTATAGGGTTATTGTTCCCCTATCCAGTATAGGGCTACCGTTCCTCTATCCAGTATAGGGACCCTAACGTGACCCTATATAATTTTTTTAGCATTTTTTGAGATCCCGGACCATCTTCAGGGTTGTTCTTGTGAACGGCATAAATTCCCGATAAAGATCGAAGAGTGGAAATCAAGGGACATGGGAAAAGCGAAAGTGCGACCTCTCGGCCATCGGGACTTTAACGACGTCCCGGATGGCTCCGTCGAGGACGTCGTCGAGACGTTCCCGGGGGAGGAGAACGCACGGGCACTTAACGGGACGGTTAATCAATCCCGACGGTCGTTATCGTCAACCCCTTGTACCGAGACCGGCATTAACGTGGCCAAACACCACTAAAATGTCAGGAATCGTTAATCCACCCACCCCCAAGCGGGGGGCACGCATTATCGTCCCTGATATCCCGGATATCCCGGCTATCCCGGCTATCCCGGCGGTGGTTTCTTGGACGACGACGCACCCCCTTCCTGGCGACACCCCCTAAAGCCACCCCTAAACCACGCAATTTAGGGAGGGTCTTTAACTCCACCTGTCTTCTCTTCGGCTTCCAGGAACCTTCATAACGTAACCTCAGAACACCCCTTGATAACGGGTGAGAAGAGCAGAGCCACCCTAGATTTTTCTTATCTGTTTGGATACAATTTTCATTTTTCACCGTTCGTAATATCGCAGGGGCGAAAGAGGAAAAATCAAGCAGAATGTGGTGGAATTTTAAAGGCTGGAGGGGGTGACTTTTTCCCTTCATTTTTCATCCCTCGTCGACCCAGGTCAGGGGATGGGGGGAGAAAACGCGAATCCGCGGGCCGCGGCCGTTCTAGCGGGGATCGATCCGCACCCCCATGTAGGTCAGTGATAGCGAAGGGTAAGTAAACCGTGTAGAGCGCCGGCCCGGCTGAAATTGCACCTGCTGCTGGTCGTTCGAGCCTCACCACCTTTTCGGGCCGAATCGACATTCCGAAAATAGCGCGAACTGCTCGTCGGGTCGAACTATCTAGGCTGGGAAATTAAGACTAATGGGGGGTTAGATGGAACTAGCCATGGGGAAAGGGGGCGCGATCTTTGACGCGCCGCCGATCAGCTGATTTCGAGATCAGCTGATATCGAGGGGTGGGAAACTTCGGTATTTTCAGGTATTTTTATTCGCCGAAATTTCAGGTATCGGGAGAAATTTGAAATGGGACTGGATGATTACAGAATCATTCTGTCAACGTCAGAATTCAATTATAAAAAATTATAATGCAACATTACATTAAATTCAAATAAAAACGCACCAATACTGTAAATATACAGTGTCAGGTGCATTTAAACATCTTTTAATTTGTAACTATTCCATTTTACGTTTTTGTATGTGAAACTTAAATTACAAAGTGCGTAAAAATGTATGTAAATTTCAATTGATTTTTATCAGGTGCATTTATGCACTTTATAATTTGTAATTCTACCATTTTACGTTTTCCTATGTGAAACTTAAGTTATGAAGTATGTAAAAATGCATGTCAATTTCCATGGATTTTTATCTCAGTGCCTCGATATAAACCTGGTATGCACCTGAGATAACAATAGCGCAGGTGAATCGAATTTATCTGTCACCCCGAAAAGTCAGAGATGCACCCTCTGAGTGCATCCACAGGATGCACCCTCTCAATCGACGATCTCCACTGCATTGGATTTTGATTAGTACCGCGTGCATTCATTTCGAAAATAAAAATGAAAAAACCGTGAAGCAGTGCCGGAAACGAGGGGAAAAAAGCAAAAAAAAATGGAAAAAGGGAGGACCAATTGTCCGAGGAGGGACAAAGCTCCCTTCCCCATTTGCACCCTCTTCTCGATACAAAACCACCCCTTTGGTCCAGAACCTTTGTCCCAGTCACTTTTCCTCGCTTTGGGGAATTCCGAGACCAACGCAAATTCGAGACTTTTCTTTTTTTTATATTGTCCTCCCGACCATTTTTATTTATTAAATCGCGTTTTTCCCGAATAAAAGGGCTTGGTAATACGGGAATTTCGGGGAATCCCTGCAGAGGCCTCCGGGTTATTTTTCGCGTTTCCCTCGTCAAATGTTCCCCCCTGGCTCGAAATTAAATCGAAATAGATTGACTTTTAGGACAACCCTTTCATCCTATCCACCCCTTGCAAGAGTTTTTTCTTCCTAATGGATTGTTTAAACATTCCTTCCCTCCTTCGGGATATTATAATTTCGTAATTTCGCCATATTTTAATCCATCCCCGATTTCGACATCACCCCCCCGGGGGGGTAGGGGGGGTCGATGTTCCACCCCGTCCGGCAAAGAGCTCGGGTTATTACTCGAGCTCTCATTGTTGCGCGTTCGCACTTTATTGTTGTTTCAATTACGCCGGAGAACGCACCCTTCAGCGGGCCGCGACTCGTCGGCATATTGCGCATGCATAATTTAACGTGTTCAAACAAATAACAAAGTTTTCGCATGCTGATGAGCACCCTGGAAGGGAAGGAGGGCCACCAAGAGAGGGATAAAATGCTGACCGAGAAACTAACCGGAGATACGAGACGCGATTTGCTTTCCATTCTTTTCCTTTTTTTTCGAATTTTATCCCCAAAGATATAAAATATTAATATTTACATATCGAGGTAAACAGAGATACTAAGCCGATTTTTAGACCAAGATTTAAGNGTCAGTTATCAAGCGTCACGCGCCTTGATATTTATCAAAAACTGGACAGAATTTTTAGAAAGATGCTACCTGGTATTTTTTATAATTTAGTGCCATGACTTCAAGGGCTGGATTTTCGCAAGATACGGTCATACCGCAAATAGCGTACTCCTCCACCCAGAAGCCCTGGTTCTTCGATTCCTCCAAATCTTTTTATTTTTTTCGAATTTCATCCCCAAAGATATAAAATATTAATATTTACATATCGAGGTAATCATAGATAATAAGCAGGTTTTTAGATCAAGATTTGAAAAATAGGAAGAGGAAGTTATCGTGGAAAATGTGAGGGAGGGAAATTCTGAAAGGAATTTCTGGACCTTGGGGGTTCTTCAGAGTAGGACTCGGGAATTTTCAAGGACTTGAAGAATGTGACGTGGGACGGAAAATCGTCCTTGATTATTTCTCGATCGGCGACCACCTTTTGGCGTATTTTTTTGGATCTCAAGATTGAAAAGAATCAACGGTAGGAAATTATGAAGGAAAATCAGATGGATAAAAACCCTTAGATGATCAATCTCCGAACTTTTAATTAGATCTTGATTTTCCAAAATCATAGCGTTCTTCAGGATTGATAAAAATCCTTAGACGATCAATCTCCAAACTTTTAATTAAATCTTGATTTTTCAAAAGCATAGTGTTCTTCAGGATCGTTGAAAATCCTTAGACAATCAATCTCGAAACTTTTAATTAGATCTTGATTTTCCAAAATCATAGCGTTCTTCAGGATCGATAAAAATCCTTAGACGGTCAATCTGCAAACTTTTAATTAAATCTTTATTTTTCAAAATCATAGCGTTCTTCAGGATCGATAAAAATCCTTAGATGATGAATCTCCAAACTTTTAATTAAATCTTGATTTTTCAAAATCATAGCGTTCTTCAGGATCGATAAAAATCCTTATACGATCAATCTGCAAATTTCTATCCAAACCTTGATTTCTCAATATCATAGCGTTCTTTAGGATCGATAAAAATTCTCGATCCTGACTTTGACATGATCGGGTTATGATCGATCCCTGTTATCACTTCTACTCGGGCACACCAGTGTTATCGTTCACTTCAGGATCGACTTCTTCAGGGGTCGTAAAGGCATAAAGCAACCAACGGGGCACGGCGCCTGGTAACCGGGGCGTTAAAAAACCACCCCCTGGCGTGTGAACCCTTTCCCTCCACCCCCGATCCGCAGGTCGCGGGTCGAAATCTCTCTCGTTAGAGCCTCTTCGGAGGCTCCTTAATTGCGCCCCTGGTCGCCGTTTTGCATTCGCGATACCCGAGGCCGCTTTTCTAGCGTTACTCGAGATACCTCCCTCGTCCACCGGCAACGCTCCGTTAGCTTTAACGGCGAGTCGACTCCGTTTTTACGAGGCAATTATGGCCCCGGCCAGCTCGGACATCGAAAACCGGAGGCGATCGCGTTTTTCGAGATCGCCGATAAGGGCTGCTCTCGCAAAAAGGCTCGTCGAGCGATTTTAAAGTCCGCCCCCGAGTACTCGAAGTGGACCCTGAAGAGTACCCCGAAGAGAGGGACGGGACTTGCTGTTGGGTTGTTCCATCAGTCCGTTAATAAGTGTTATAAAGTTTCTTAATAAGTTAATAGTACTCGAAGTAGACCCCGAAGAGGACCCTGAGGAGATGGAACTCGTTGGGTTGTTCCATCAGTTTGTTACTAAGAGAGATTGTTTATCTTCTGAGGCGAGGGTTATTAGTAATCTTCAATTTAGGACTGATGGCCATCTCTTGACAGCTTTTCTGTAGGATGTAAGAATGGTACGAAGAGGATCACGAAGAAGAGGGAGGAGAAGTGGGATCTTGGGTTTGTCGATCGACCTCTGGATAGGTTTCGTAGGTGGATTCTGCGAGATTTTTACGGAGGGTGGTTAACCCTGAAGACGACTCGGCGCTCCACCCTGAAGACCTGGTTCTTGGATTTCTTTGAAATCCGTGGGTTATGTTGATGCAAACGTAAAGAGATCGATTCCAATCAGGGCTTGATAGGGCTGGATTTGTTGCAAGGTATGGTAAAATCTGAAGAAAGCCTACTCCACCCAGAAGACCTGGTTCTCCAATTTCTTTTACACCTGTTGATTTTATTCGCGAAAATCGGATAACTCGATAGAGTTTCGCGCCAAGTAAGTTTGAAAGCATGCGCTTGATAGGTAACTTCAAGGGCTGGATTTTCGCAAGATACGGTCATACCGAAAAAAGCCTACTCCTCCACCCAGAAGCCCTGGTTCTCGAATTTCTTTTAAACCTGTTGATTTTATTCGC